TATAAATTGATCTAGGTGCTTAAAGTAAAAATTGGATCCTACCATAAAAATTTCACTAGAAGAGGTTGTTTTGATGCTTAAATATCATCGAATTGGTCATCTTGACATCAAGATGTATGGACATGAGAAAAAAAATGGATTTCAAGTTTGGAAATATTGTATTTCATAACGCATTTTTTGACCGTCAATTTCAAAATTTTCAAGTTTTCATGAATCTTGTAGATCTACACTGTTTTTGAAGCTTTAAACTTTATAAATAAAAATAAAAATATATTTTAAGGTTATTATAAATATATTCAGTATTAACACCACATCTCTCAATACTATTTGAAGGTAGGCTCTAATTTAATATAGAGCCTAGGTTCTATATCAACCTCACCCTTATGTAAAACCCTTAAAAAATAAAAAGCATTTTTTCACACAAAGAAACCTATTAGAAAGCACCACCGCATAAGAGGTACTGAATTGAGATTCGACAATCTCTAATCAAGAGTTTCAATTGCAATATTTTTTTTCCTTACAATGAATCAAATAATATAAAAGTGGTCCAATATGCTTAAAATTTCGTTTTCTAAAAGCCTATTATTTTCTTTTGCTCAAGGCTGTGGTTTTTATAAGATTGCAACCTTAAACAATCCAATTAAGGTGCCCTCTGTTTCTTGAGAGAATTTCTTACATTCCCATTAACTATGTTCAAAGCTTTTTTGTTTGTTTTTTGGTACTCCAATTAGACAAGACATTGACATGGATAAACGCAGGTTAAGTAGCTTTGGTTCTTGCCAATAACAGCTTTCATCTCTTTTATCTATCAGAGGGATAGCAAAGATGTATGACCCGAATTGGAGCCAGAAAGAGCTCTAAAACAGATACAAAGACAATTCTATAGATACAATCCACAAGAGGATTTCAGCATAAACAACACCTAAATATCATTATAAAACTATTAACTAGAACACATCAATCAAATAAACTTGCTATAAGCTACACAAAATATTCCAAATCCGTTCCCATCCCAAGGGGTTATCACATTTTTTTGGCCATGTAGGGGTTATCATCATGTCGCAGAACTTCTAAGCTGCATTTCCAACAAAGTAAATAAACATCCTGATCCCACGATGGCCTATCCAATTTATGCTTTTTAGTATGTCCAAATCTAAGGGAGCTATGTGTTGCAAGAGTCATTTGAAGTTTGATGCCAACCAATTATTCAATAGAAGAATCAATCATGACTGAGTTTCCTCAGTTTACAGTTTATGTTCCCTTAAAACTTAGATTAAAGAGCCAAATGAAATGTATTCCTCAGAATAAATTCACACAAATTGATGATGATTGATCTGCAGATCAAATTTGAATAAAGAAAATTACAGATCAAATTCTTAGTGAATTCTACAATGCAAGCAAATATAGGAGCGTTTTCTAACAATTACCCATAGGAATCATACCTAGTTGTGGGCGTTTTACACCCATAACTATTTATTAAATAAACTAACCTTATTAGTCAAGTAAAATAGTAGCAATGTATAAGCAAGTGCTACTAAGAATTTGATCTGTACTGTATTACCCAACCAAATAGTAGCAATGTATTACCCAAACAATAACAATCCATTTGCACCATTTGCAAATAAAGTATTACGCCAGTAATATATTTCACAGACAATATATTTCCAAGTATCCAAACGACTCTTAAGTGAATTCTTACAAAGGCTGCAAAATGATAGCAAGAAACAATTGAAAGAATAGGTTCCCTAAGTATACTCTCAACTAAATGGATTTTCATGAGTTTTGAAAGTAAGCATCGTATATAATGTTTTTTTGATTAAATTTGATTGAAAAAAATGTTTTCTTAATGCAAGATTATATTTTCTCGATACAGTCCAGTTGTCAATCTATATCCCAGGGGATCAAGAAAATCCTTTTATTATCCCTTTAAGAAATTCTTTTATAATGACAAGATTAATACATGGGAAATATAGTAATTTAGGGACTTCTTCCCTCAAATCCTCTAAAG